GAGGAGCACAAGCTTACTGAGATGAGAGAGCGGAGGGAAGGGCTGCACGCCTTCTCCCTTGTGCTCCCCTGCCCAGCTGCCCCTTTCAGCAGAGGCTCGGCCAGCCCAGGTCACATCCCACCCTGTGCCGGGGGTTCTCTGCAGCCAGGCATCACAAACGGTCCCATCCTGCTCTGCAGGTGGTTCCCAATGAAGAGTGGTGCCGCGGGGGTATGGGTGAGACCTTGAGCACTTGATTTGCCAAATGGCTTTAAAGCTTCCCCATCCCCTCGGACTGCATCACCTCTGCCCCTGCCCATGGAGAGACTAGGATGTCCCCAGACTCTCCCTCTACGTCCTTTCCAAGCAGGAAGCTCTCACATGGTCATGGATGTGCTCCTAAACCATCACAGACAGCACTCATTGCTTGAAGTCTCTGTTGGATATCATCCATCAGGGAAAAAACCCTCAATGCCCTCTCCACCCTTCTTTTAGCTCACGGATGCTCAGGACATGTTTGATGCCTTCAAAAACCAGCACAACCATCTCTCAGCCTGGACCTTGGGGGTACTTCAGGAGCAAGGAGGGGGCTGAGAGATGAAAAGAAAATACTCCCCAGCTGGAGTCCTCAGTGGCTTGTGGACTTGGCAGCCCTGTAACCCAACCCCAGCTCTGTATGGTGATGGTTTCCTAGCCCATTGCAAGGGACAGCGGTCAACAGGCACCATTTTGTGTTTGCAGGATCAAAGATAGAGTGTTTGAATGAGTCACAGGGATTTTTGACCCTCTCCCGGAGGCCTTACATTCATTCATTCTTCCTTACTTTTATCATTTTTGATAACCTGAAATATTAGTCAGCTGGACGGAATCTGCAGGTTTTATTCACCACCTCCAAAGGAAAATACGACTGAAAAATATACTGAATCAGTGTGGCCAACCCTGAGCATTCAGAGCTTCTAAAGATTTCCAGACCCTGGAAAATCAGAGAACAGCCTTTAAAATAATGAGATTTGCAAGGAAAAAAAAAAAAAAAAAAGACGACCAGTTGGCTTGTTTTTATTTTCCTGTTGGTTTCTGAGCCTGTAGGCCACTTTGACGTCATGCCACTAAGCTTGTCTCTGCAACCATGAGGTAAGAAACCCTTCCTTAAACCAGCAACCCCCCCAGCCAGCGCTCTGCAGTCACACAGCTTCAAAAAAAAATAGAAGGAAAGAAGGAAATGCTGGGACACAAGGAAAATCTCGAGAGGTTTGGAGGACCTCTCATAGAACCGAGAGGAGCAGCAGTGCACAATGCAGAGCGAGCGGCACCCTTGAAAGCCCCTCTCTGCCCACAGGGTGATGGAGAGATGGGGACATAGGTTTTTGGAGCAGGGCTGCAAACATTGCTGAGTGCCGGTGTGGCCGTGGCGCGTGGCTGGCTCACTCTTGGCAATCAAGGACGGTCCCAGGAAAATGAAAAGATTTCCAGCACATCTCAGCAATTTCTCTCCTCTCCCAAAGGAAGCATGTTTATTGGAAGCCATTTTCTGCATAAATAGCCCTTTCCTGCTGTTTCCCACAAAATCAGACTAAAATAATTTTCTAGGCTTGAGGATGCCAACCCACAGCTTCCTAGATGGATGCGCAGAGCTCAACCTTGAGCAAGAGACCAAAGACATCCCCAAAATCGTGCCCAGAGCCCACCCAGCTCTCTCAAAGAGGAGGTTTTACATCCCCTCCCCAGCAACTTCCAACTGCTTCAACACATTCCTCCTCCCCAGCGCTTTCCTTTGGGGGTCTCAAAGTCCTCTGTAACCTCAGGCCCATTCGCCCTCCACATGCACCCCAGAAGGAAGCATGACTCCAAATCACTGCTCCAACACAAAAAGAGCAAGGATCAGCTTGCTCGAAGACCCAGGCACTGCATGCTGCCAGGTAAAATGGTCTTCAGCCCCCGAAAGACTGGTGTGCAAGGGGAATAGCAGAGATGGAGACAGTCAAGTGGCAGGGCTCTCCCACCTCACACCAGTGTAGGACTGGTATCCGTGCCCGAGCAGGGAGCTGGTGATGGGGACAGGTCCCTGTTCACACCAGAAGGATGTGGAAGTCCCCTGAAGGGTCCATGCAGTGGCAAGCTCTGGGGCTGCAGGACCAGCACTGCCCAGGACAAGGACTGAGAAGGGGTCCCCTCTCCTCCTTCCTTGGTTCTGCAGCCCAGCACAGGGTCCCACCAGCTGACAGACTGGCTGGCTCTGCTGCCAGCCCTCCTTGGCCACATTGTCTAGGCTGGGACTTGGCTAGGACAGGCTGAGCCTGCACAACACAGTCCCCAGTCGGCACCCAGCAGCCTCAGCAACAAAACCAGTTGAAGACCTTCACCATGGTCAGGCATGTGGCCTGACTGTCCCCAGAAGAGCCCTTGCCCTGTAGACCAAGGCCAAGCAGCCCATGGACGTTGCACTTTTGCTGCTGTCCTTGAATTTAGTGCAGGGAGGAAAGAAGGAGGATTTGGAAGCATCTCTGAAGCTGCTCAGGAGATGAAGGCAGAGGGACTGCAGAGCTCTGGAACTGGAAATGGGCAGGACACAGTTAACGCCTGGTTCCTCTTGCAGGATCAGGAGGAACTTGGCTTCATATTTCACGTGTGGGATGTTGCAAGAGGACAAGGAGCCTTGAACCCCAGCGGCATGAGTTCCCCCCGGCTTGGTCACAGCCACGGGGAGGAAACCACGACGTGCCCTGGCTCCACGGCCACTCCACCAAGGGCAGGAGCCTCCTTGCCGGCACAGGGAGCGAAGGACGGTGCCACCACGCCAAGAGACACCAGAGAAACACTGAGGCCACACCGACTCCATGGTGGCACTGAGATGCCGGCAATTTAATAAACCTCAGCCGAGCGGTTGGGGGCTGCTGGTGAAACGGCCCCGTGCGTGGCGTGGAGTGGGGGGCTTCGCACCGCCTGGCTCCTCGGCTCTTGAAAGCAAATACAAAGGCTGGGCTCCCCCAGCCCTGGCTGATGCTCGACCTCTCCGTTGTCCTCGCTGCACGCCTGTCCCAGTTCCAGCAGCCGGTTGCTACAGCAACTGAGCTCTGACTAATCATTTGCGCAATGACCTTTTTTCCCCCCAGAGAGAGGGAGGGAGGGAGATGGAGAGGAGGGAGGGAGGGAGGGGAGGAGAGGCAAAGCAAGCGGAGGTTAGCAAGAAAAAGCAACCAGGGAGAATGTGGGTTTTTTTAGGCGATGCGAGATTTTGAGGGGGGAACTGGAGGGATGCAGGCGGTGGGAGGGGGAGAGGAAAGCGGGTGTTGAATGAGTCTCCCCCCCTCCCCGCTCTGTGCTTGAGAAAGGATGGATGGGGGCAAAGCCGGCTGCCAGCAGGCAAAGAGCCTTGCTGGGACCGTTTCCATGGGCGGGGGGGTGGGGGGACTCCAAATGGGGCTGATACCGCAGCCCTCCTCCTCCTCCTCCTCCCCACCCCACCCCACGCCGACCCTGGCCACCGCCAAAGGGCCAGAAGTCAAGAATTTGGCTCTGCCTCACGACTGAGCGCCTGCAAAGGGCTGGCTGGCCCCAGGTCAACCTGGCTTGAGAACCCCGAGCACAAAACCTCACCGGCGGGTGGTGTTTGGGGAAGCTACACCAGAGATGAGCTGAGCTAAAAAATCCCGTGTCAGCATTATGCCAAGGGGGAGCACGGCCGGACTCTGCTGAGCCATGAGAACCAGTTCGAGAAGAAACCTGAGCCCAGCTCCAGCAGCTCCGACGGTGTTACTGGGAGGGCTTCGCTCCCACCTCTACTGCCTTCAGCTGAGCAAGACCAGGGTCAGGTCTGGCTCCAGCTCCAAAACAGAGTAAATAATGCAAAAGCCTCTTTCTGCACAGCTCTAAGGAGCACACATGAGATCATATCTTACTGACTCGGTAGGAGAAAACAGTTCAGAGGTTACATATTGCTCCTCATGTCAGTTGGCACTTAGAAAACAGGAGCTGGTGAAACCAAAAAAAGCAGTGGCAAGGAGGCCCTCCTCACCAAGGGGTGGATGGTTGCGCCGCCAGTCCCAAGTTTTCACAGCAAAAGGATTTGGGCTTTTCTCCAATTGGATCAGAAAACAGTCACATCTGACCCTGACCAACCACAAAGTACTAAGCCAGCTGAGATGGACAATAACAGAGATCCCTGGTGACCAAGAGCAGAAATCTATGGAAAGTCACAGAAGAATGGGTTGGCCATTTGGAAAGAAAAGGAGGTTTGAAGAAAACAAAATGTTTTTGTGGACAAATACTCCACAACAGAGCCTGACAAACTGCAGTACTGTTGTGTAAATTGGAGAGGGAGGACTTGGTATGACTAATGAACAAACCAAAGAAGAATGAGCTATATCCTGAATGGTGCTGAGCGCGCACTCCCCACATGCAACTCCTGCTGACACATGCTGAAGCTCAGGACAGGGAGCCCTTGTTGGGTAAGACAAAATCTCATTCAAAGAGGTATTATGGTGGCCTTTGCTGCTCCAGCCTTACCCTCTCTTTCTGCACCAAAGACAGGCCCTTTCCTTAGGGCAGCTCAGACAAAATATATGCTCCAAACACCTCCACAAGGTCCTGGAGCCAACCCTCCTGTTTCAGCTTACCCTCTGCCCATCAACACAATGCAAAGGACAGGACCTTCCTAGCAGGCATTCCCCAGCTAGTTTGTACAGCTAGAAAATGTAAAGTAAGACTCACAAAAATCATCTGCGATTTATTTAAGGCACAAAAAGGAGAGGCCAGGTTGCGAAGAATACTCTGCACGCAGTGTGCACTCAACATATTTCCCTTATCAGCACGACTTGGCACCTACAAAAATTCCCACTGCAGCATCTGATCCCAAACTTGGAGAAACCAACAGGAGGGTTCGCATCGGGCCCGTCGTGGTGCCTACGCTACGAGGGGCATTGCAGGCAGCCTCTGCTTGAGCTTCAGCAGATCAAAGCTGTGTCGAGTCCTATGTAATAAGTGCTGTTGAATGGCAAGATATGTTAACTCAGGCTTGGCACTACCTGGCCGTGGTCACAGGGCTTGCAGATCCAGCCCAAGCTTTCACCTGCCTCCGATCCACCTTGTAGATAAACCCGGGGCTGCAGTGAGTCTGAAACACAGCACATAGAAATAAAACTTCTTTCTACATCTTTTGGTTAAATCGCTCTGCAGCTTGCAGAGCTCCACCAAGGACAATTATTTCCAGCATGTGCTGTGCATGAATGCTGCAAGCAAGACAGAGCTGGAGTTTCATCATAGCCCAGCTTTGTGTGCAGAGTGAAGAAGGAAAAAAAAAGAAAAAAAAAAAAAAGAAGAAAAGAAAAAAATAGAAGGAACTTGGAACTGGAGGCCCCCCCAGCCTCACCCTGATCCCAAGGAGGCTCTGCTCTGCTCTTGCTCAACCCGACACCGAGAATGAGGAAGCAGAGGAGACAGGCGGGGGAGGTGGAGGAACGGTCAAGCTGAAGACAAACAGCCTCTGAGCCGGGCAGTTGGAAAGCTTCGCAAGCGAGAGGGCACAGGAGCAAAGAGCGGGCTGTGTCCTGCGCTGGAGCCCCCTCCCTGCCCCCATCCAGGCCGGGGGGCTCTGTGGCCCTCACCCCAGAAGATGCTCTGGGTTTTGATAACCCGAGTTCAGGTCTTAAAAGAGATGGTCTCCAGCATGGAGATCTGCCCAGCCCCGCCGCGTTGCCAGCCCAGATCTCATTTACCCAGGCTGCGACCGGTGGTGGCCGAGCAACCCCCCGCCCCGGAGGAGCCCTTGGCGGGCAGAGCTGTGCCGTACCGTGCTGGCCACGGCCAGCCAGCTCTCCCCTTTGCTCGGTTAGAGTCGGCTTTCAGCACAGCCGGCGTCAGCAGCTCGCCTCCACACTCTGCAATACCAGGAACCGCAAACACCGCATTCGCTGCAAACAGGAGTTTGCATAAAAAAAAAAAAAATTAAACCCCAGCCAGTTGTGAGATATTCCAGGCAGCTCCACGGGCCTGGGGCTGGTCCTCTCCCTTCCCAGCATCGGTTCCTGGAACCACACACCTTACCTCCCCTCACCCCAAGTGCCGATGGCTGCTGTCACCTTCCCCGTCCTGATGTCCCCATCCTGCACGTGGGCTAGTCTCTCTTCCTTGTCCTGGCCTGGGGGAGGAAGAAATCCAGACAAAGGGAGCCCAGCATCTGCACAGCCCCCTTGGTGACAGACCAACACCCCAACATGATATTCTCCTGCTGATTTGCCCTTCCGCCTCGATAGGCCAGTAAGGAGGTACCTTGATCTCATCCCTCTCACAGCAAAGGACATTGTAGCAGAGACACGAAGGGATGTGCCAGAGGCCAAGGAGGACAGAGAACCAGGCAGAGGAGTTGGATGGATCCGCTTGTTTAAATTTCTTTATGATGAGCAATATTAACTTTACCCCAGCAGCGTTACTGCTCGCAAGGGATGGTCAGACGACTGCGAGTGATCAGTTCAGGATGAACCCACAGTGCAAAGAGGCTGCCCAGCCCCCAGGCAGGGCTGTCGCCGAGCATCGCCAGGGATGCAGCCACTGAGCACCTTCCCAGCCAACCAGCCCGGGATCCCACCCGGCTTGTAACCTTCCAACCATGCAACACAGTCAGCACACGCTGTGCAAGAACCTGGGAAGAAACATGGCCTACACGGAAAGGAGTGAAGGGGATTCATCAGTTTAATTTCTGCTAAAACCACGCCTTGAATCCACCTAGCACACAGGACGTGTGTGGAAGATCCCCAGAGGGGTTCATGTAACTTGCAGGAAGATCAGAAACAATGGCCCATAAGGCAAGCCCCACAACCGGTCTCAAATCTCATCTCTCCAGGTCCACCAGCAAATGAGAACCAAGACACTGAGATGCATCAGCTCAATTGCCCAGTTCCTGGAGGCTCACACCAGTGGTTGCCCACAGAGATGGAGCAGTTTGGGGGTCGCCACATCCCCCTGAACACGTTCTACCCCAGCTGCCCACCTCTCCAGCACCCTGAGGTGATGGGGGCAACAGCAGGAGGGAAATGTGAGGTTCCCTTCTCAGAATGGGAAGGGCCACTGATGGAGGTGATGAAACTCATCCTGAGGGAAAATGTTTGCTGTTTCCCAAGAGAAGTGGCAAATCCCAATGGACCAGCCCTTCAGGAGTGCCAGGGAGGCAACCAAACCTAGAGAGGGACCAGACAGGAGAGGGAAAACCCAGCAAACCCTGGGGAAAATGGACTTTTCTGTCCCTTACACAAAGCCATCGCAGGGTGGGAGCTGGGCTGAGGAAGCCTTTACCCCCTGCCCGGGCCAGGCAGCAGCCAAGCCTGCCAGAGGAGATGCTGTGGGACGACGGGCGAGTGCCGGGCCCATGCAATTGCCTATAGCGAGTGGCAATTCCAGCAAGTTTACACCTGGCTTGCATTTGGTCCCAGAAGCGTTTCACATTGAGAGCATCCCTGGAAGGGAAGATTCGCTGCCAAAAAAACGAGAACTCCGCCTGCCCGGATTTTGGAGGGGAAGGCGGGTTTATTTGCATTTCCAATTTGGCTGGGAAACTGGAAAAATACAGACCTAAGAAGCCAATTCCCGCCAGTCCATCACCTCCTCCAAAATCCAGTGGTCTCCAACCCAGAAAGATGCTGGACCAGCACCGGTGGGGACCTGTGCTCTACAGCAGGAGGCTGGGGATATTTGGATATGTGATGGTGGCTCTAAGGTGGGCAGGGACCAGGGGGAGCTTTTGGAAAAGGGGCTGAGGGGAGAGAAAATGTGCCAGGATGGGGCCTGGGGACACCAGCCTGACAGTTCTGTCCACCACTGAGTTACCCACAGGACCCGGTGAGGAGCAAACCCCTTGGAGCAACAGCGCTGGGTTTAAATAAATAAATACAATTCTGATGAAAGGAAAAAAAAAAAAAAAGAATAAAGGATGTGCCTCTCCAGCGCCTCCTCCCCTCCCAGAAACCTGTGTGCTATGCAAATATATGGAAATGAGACATGTAAGGGGGATGAAACTGGCTCTCTAAACCAGCGTGGTTTTAGACTGGGAAGCGTTGGAGGCAGCTTGCTGGAAAGTTGAGGCAGAAATAGCTGTGCCATGAGAGGGATGAGCAATTACGACTGGAGGGTACGTGTCCCAAAATGCTTTTGGTGGTGGGATCAGCTCCTGCAGCACCAGCAAAATACAGCACCAAACCTCCCTCTCGACACCTCGGTTCAGCAGCCAGTATTAAAGCACTCCCCAAATCTCTCTCCCCTTCAGCCCAGGGCTGAAAATAAAATAAAAAAAATAAAAAAAAAAAAAAAGGAGAAAACTTGCTTTGCTGCTGTTTGCAATTCCCAGGCAGGGAAGGGATGGCAAAAAGCACTGCAGTGCATGGAAACCCAGGCAGCTCAGTCCAAAGCAGGGGGTGGCCAGTGCGGGCAGGCCGGGGTGATGCTCCCCAGGGTGGGCACTTTCCCCGGGGACCGCATGAGGAGTGACATCTTTCTTACATGAAGAATGGGATCGTACGAATTCCAGCTCGTTTGTTCCAGGCAATTTATCCACCCAAGTATTGCCTTGTTCGGTAACATTTTCTCAAGGGGTTTCTGCAGAGAAGCAGGTGAAATCTAGAAAGTCTGAAGGCTTTGGGGTGTAAACACCATTTGCCTGAGCAATGCTGCTCACGTTAATAGTCAACACCTGAGCATTTTTTGCTCAGAAACAGGAGGGGGTTTTGTGTTAAACAAACTCTGCTCAAGAACAGACCTGGCTGGAGCAAAAGCCCCTTTCCTGCCTCCTGACCCAGCACAGGATTTTCACAGAAATAGCTCAGATGCTCTGAGCTCAATGGAAAGTTGGGGTGGACTGCCAGTGTCCTGGGCAGCCCTGGGCCACAGCAGCCCTGCTTCAGGCAGCCGGCGATTTCCATCGGCATCAGTGGGATGTTGTTGGAAAGTTGCCTCCTGCGACTGCAGGGCTTTCAAAACCCACCCCAGGCACTGGAGATGGGGGGAGAGGGCAGGGGAGCAGAGAGGGGACGATACCAACACCATTCATCACGCACCTTGAGCCCAAAGGTGTGACACTGGGGTCTGCTTCGTCTCTCACAGTGGGATGCAGAGGAGCAGGATATTTGTAAAAAGCACTGGAAAGGACTCAACTGCTCTCTGGTTTGAGTCCATGCAAGATGGCCATTTCCTATGATCGCCACTCCTGTGCCTCTGCCACCATTTGCAACCTCAGATTCCCCCCAAGAATGTCACAGCGCTGCATTCAAGACAGCTCCCACAGCCCTGCATCTTAATTTGCTTTTATCTGTCTCATTAAAGGCAATCTCCAGCAACTCCGACACCAGTCTCTAGCATGGCGGGCGTTTGTGTTTCCACCGTTGGGTTGAGCAGGCTGTCAGCAGTGACAGCCCACGTGCACGGGTGCCACGCTGTCATTTAACGGCGCTGAGCACGGAGCAGAGGCACCTTCCATCCACACACTGCTCTGCAGTCACTGTGGGGTTACTGGGGTACGTCCAGCCCTGTCCCGCACCCCAGAACTACCCCCTGACAGATATTATGGCTTCAGCATCACACATCCTTGAGACAGAGGTTCATTACCTGCTTGGCTGCAGTATCCTGCAGTCGAGCACCAGCATATCGGCTTCCCTGGACAATGTATATAAATCTGGGCCATTCCTATGCCACAAACCCAGTTCCTTTACCTGACCTGGTCTAAAACACAGAGACAATTTTGAGCATCTTCCTCACTGGTGTTTATTTGAGGCAAGAGCGAAGCATCTTGGACTCTTCCCTGTGCTCTTCTATCCTTTCATCTGCCCTTTTTACTGTATTTCCCTGACACCTCTTGGGGATCTGCCCCAGCTCCGGGGCTCTGGCAAGCGTGTATATCAGTGCACATACCCTCTCCAGCCACAGCAGTGTTACACAAACCTTTGGAGCACACAAAAGCCAGTGATGACAGAGTTTTGTGAATCTATATTAAAAATACAGCCTTATTCCACCTTCCTGAAGAGAAAGGTGCCATGAAAGTGTCATGGGGTGGTGAGTCCAGGAGATACCGGGCAAAAGGAGAGGAACTGCTGCTCAGCCGACCTCTTCCCAGTCCCTTCTCTAACTCCTGTTCTCATCTGAGAGTTGCTTATTTCTCCCCATGTCCACATGGCAAAACCCTGCGAACCTGAAGAATAAAAGGTGTAGACTAGCTGGGATTTCAAATTCTGTGATTAAGGATGGAGGCAATTTCTCCCCTCCCTGGGCTGATAGGGCAGGCAGCGGATGAGGATGGCTTTTTTGTGTGCTGCCAGCAGCTGTGATAGGCGCCTCTGCCGTCACCAAGCAGAGAGATTATTCTCTGGATCTCCCGAGCTGTTTATCAGGAACGCTCACTGCTGCAGCCACTAAACCAGCTTAAATACCAAAATTAAAAAATAATTAAAAAAAAAAAAAAATCTTTTCTGTAACCTCAGAGAGGGATTGGGAAGGGGAGGTAAAAGTACCTGAGATGCAAGTTGGGGTCTTAACAGAACAGACACATCACCAGCTCAGGAGGGGGAAGGGGGAAAGAGACTCCACAGCCACAGGGACTGAGACCCCCGGCCGGAGGGATGGAGCAGCAAAACCTGCTGGCAGGGGACTGAGGGACCTGCCTGGAGCGGGCAGCTGCCAGTCTCGGCCGGCAGGCACATGGCTGGGAAGCCAGCGGGAAGATTTCACAGGACAAAGTCGGCAGTGCCTACACTGGCACATCTCCCTGGCCCTGCCTTCAGCATCATGGGGCAGGGAGCCGTTGGGAGCATGTGAGGAGCAGCAGCTTCGCACCACGGCCGGGGCAGCCCGGCTCCGGTACCCGGGGAAGAGCAGCAGAGTGATGCTCCCTCCCCAC